TAGTTTACGACGCGCGCTACTCTCACTCCCTCCTGACAGCTTTGTTCGTATGTACCGAAATTTGTAACTCGGAAGTTCGCAAGTAGGGGACCACCTGTATATAATATATGATGTATATATATATGGAATCTATAATGTATATAATAATTATAATATAGTAATCAATATATATACATATACATATGTATATGTATAATATATGAATATATATAAATATATATATATATATATATATAATATATATATATATATATATATATATATATAATATATAATATATAATGTATATATATATAATATATATAAATATCATATATATAATATCGTATAAACAATATATATAAAGGATGATATATATAATACAAAATATAAAGTATATAAATGATGTATATGATGTATGATATATATAATGTATGTGTTATATGATATACATAATGTATATGATATACGATATATATAACGTATATGGTATATTTGTAAAACATAATATGAATTATGATAGTATATGCAATACATTGTATTTATGTGTGTATATATATGATATATATCATATTTATGACATACATAAAATATGTATATACACACACACATCTTCAGTTTACAGTATACTCCAGACGACGATTTAAAATGTGTTTTGGTTAGTTTTAATAGGGATAAAAATCAGAAAATAATCCTGGTTTTTTGTTTTCCTGAATGATATTTGACAATGATATCCCATAGTCACCCTCTGACAAACCACGTTATTGGAATTTGTAGTAAATTCAGTTTTCAGTCAAATTTCCTAGAAATGGCAAACAAACAAATTATTGCATATTCAGATGAAATCATATGACGTTCCCAAAGCTTTCCCAAACCATCTAGTTCCCCAGGTCGTCCGTCAAATCCCAGACCCCCAAGATCATGTCCTAGGTATAAAATACTCCAAAAACCTGCCTTATCATTAAACCTTCAGGATAGTACAGTGGTAACGCGCCCCGACCAGTAGTGAAAAGTTGCAATTGTCGCCCTGAGGTAATTGCTACCTCTGTTGCACTAGCTGACACACGTTGATCAAGTCAACATTAGTTGGCACAGGCCGGGCGAAGCTCAGCTTCGCATATCGGACCTATCCTTATCTTTGTCTCATAACTTGATTTCTTTACAGTAAAAAGATCACAATGAAGTTCCTTGCAGTTTTCCTCCTGATGGCCTTCCTCGTGTTTGGGACTTGGGCTTCGTTCGGCCGATCCCGCTTCCTGTGCCTCTGCTCAAGGCAACCTCGCACTGGAAGATCAGCCCATATTTGTTTCTGCTGATCATTAACGCACACGCGCATTCATAAAAGTTTCAGCAATGTCACTACTAGGATCGATAAATAGGTTTGTTTAACCCTCTTTCTTGGAAAGAGGAAAAATGGCACGCTTTAAACAGTCTGGAGCGTCAGTAGGATTAATCTGGTTTACAACGATATATCTTTTTTGAGGAAGGATTATGATTCAATAGGTTGATATACTTCATCTGATTCTCAGGTCACGCTTTTTTTTTTTTTTTTTTTTTTTAATGCTCTTACATAACTATGATTCCAAGTGGTTTTAATAACTATTACCTTTTAGGGTTTATTTTCTCTCAGTTACTTTTATTTAAGCAACTTAATATCAATGGATTTACTCTGGCATAGCTTACTTTACTTTATACAGAAGGGGTGTGAACAGTGTTTGGTCTCCTCTGGGTCTTCAGTACGTGGTCCTTTACGGTATAGTCAGGGGCATAAAAATGATGGTAATGATGATTTTGTGTTAGTTTTAAAGAGGGGAGGCAAACTAACAAAATTTGACACTAACAATAACAATAGTGGCAATAATGAGGATAACAATAATGTTTATAATAATAGCAGTAGTAATGATAATAATAACCATAATGATGAAAATGGTAACACTAGTTGTAATAATAATAATGATAATGTTGAAATGCAATAATAGAGATAAGAAAATAACAATCGAATGCAATTAATATTTAATATAATGATAATTATCATAATAATAATCTTAATGATAATAATGATAATACCTATGATAATAATAACAATAATGATAATACCTATGTCAACAATAACAATGATAATACCCATGATAATAATAATAACAATGATAATACCTATGATAATAATAACAATAAAATGATAATAATAACAAGAATAACAAGAACATAATAATGATAATAATAATAACGTTAAAATCAACAAGAACAATGCCAACCATAATGATAACAAGGTCCAGCAGAGGACCCTCAAAGACCCCTATAAACACCCATGAACAGGATGTTGTTCGCCTCGTTATCTTTAATGTAGAAAACGAAGGGCCGGTTGCACGTGAACGTCGTCTTTGGAGGCATTGGACTAGACTTAGTCACACGAGCACGTCGCCGCTGCCGCCTCTGCGCCTTCTTCGTCCACCTCTATAAGGGCCTTGTGGATCGCTCCATTCACCATTAATCCTCGAACATGTGTGAAGTCGGTCAGATC